TTAGCGGCGTGGTCCAGTTAGCGGCGTGGTCCAGTTAGCGGCGTGGTGTTAGCAGTCTTGTTATTAAGTCCATTCAGCAGCTTGATGATGAGGACCACAGCAGCTGCCTCCCAGACCGCCCTCCAGAACCGGTCCAGCAGACAAAACATCCATGGTTCCCCCGCAGAACCAAACTGGGTCCGTTCTGCAGAGTTTGGTCCGATCAGGCAGACGGAGGATCTTGTTAGCAGCATTAGCAGGTCTAGTTACCAGGTCCCATCAGCACTCCGATGATAATGACCACAGCAGCTGCCCTCCCAGACTGCCCTCCAGAACTGGGTCCGGCAGATTGAGAACATCCAGATTTCCCCACAGAACCGAACGGGTCCGTAGAGTTCGGTCTGTGCAGGCAGATGGAGGATCATGGAGACAGCCGCCATGACAGGTCGGAGCCAGAGACTGGAAGAACAGAGTCACGATGGCAAGGCAGCGACACAGAAAACTCCACGAGTGTGTCGCGGTCATACCCGTACTGTGGATGTGCATTGTAGCCGCAAAAGATAAAAATCAAGACCCTAGAGTTACTGCTGCTGAAACTCCTTAAACCTCCACGCTGAGGACCCTCTACAGTTCATGTACCAGGAGAAGGTGGGGGTGGAGGATGCCATTCTCCATCTTATGCACAGGGCTCAATCTCACCTAGACATGGGAAACTGTGCAGTTTTACTTCTCCAGTGCCTTCAACACAATTCAGCCCCTGCTACTGAGACGAGCTCGAGGAGGTGGAGGTGGACACACATCTGGCCTCCTGGATTACAAACTATCTCGCTGAGAGACCGCAACACGTCAGAATCAGGGACTGCATCTCAGACAGAAGTTAGCAGCACAGGATCACCGCAGGGGACCGTGCTCTCTCCAGTTCTCTTCACCCTGCACACATCTGACTTCAGTTATAACTCTGAGACCTCCACATGGACCTCCACATGCAGAAGTTCTCAGATGACACTGTAATTGTTGAGTGTGTGCAGGATGGACAGGAGGGGGAGTACAGGACCCTGGTTGAGGACTTTGTAGTGTGGCGCAAATCCAACCATCTACAGCTGAACATCAGTAAGACAGAGCTCGTTGACTTCAGAAGGTCTGGGCCTACCCTGCAGCCAGTCTCAATGGAGGAGGTCAATGTGGAGGTGGTCAGGACATACAGACATCTGGACAGACAACTGGACGACAGCCTAGACTGGTCAGTGAACACAGACTCCCTCTACAGGAAGGGTCAGAGCGGACTCTACTTCATGAGGCGGCTTGGGTCCTTCAGTATCTGCAGGAAGCCGTTGGTGATGTTCTACCAGTCTGTGGTGGCCAGTGTCCTCTTCTGTGTGGTTGTGTGTTGGGAGGCAGCATTAAGAGGAGAGCTGCAGGGCGACTGGTGAGGAAAGCTGGTTCTGTGCTGGGAACAGAACTGGAGTCCCATAGAGAAAAGGACCTTCAGTAAGCTGCTGTCTATCATGGACAATGCTGACCATCCTCTGCACGGTGCCATCATGAAGAAGAGCTCCTTCAGTGGTAGAATGCCATCCCAGTCCTGCTCCACGGAAAGATTCAGGAAGTCCTTTGTCCCTCAAGCCATCAGACTGTTCAACTCCACCCCGTACAGTAAAAATAGAAAATAAGAGTCTTGTAAATCTGCAGTACCCTGGACCTGTATGTGTATATACATATGTATATGTATGCTTAGATAGGTATGCATGTATACATATATTATAAGTTAATCGTGAATGTAGTACTCTGCATTTGCATTAAGTGTCTGTCTGTCTGTCTGTCTGTATACCTCTTAAGAGTTTATGCATCAAAGTGATTTTGTTAAATTACCACTGAACTTTAAAGAAAGTTGATGTTTGGTGGAGTTTTAAGCAGTAGCTGTGTTGGCACTCTTCAATAAAAACAGAACTTAAAAAAAAAAAATTCTCATTTTTGAAAAGGACGTCGAGGGCCGAACAGACAGGATCCAAGAGGCCACATCTGGCCCTCGGGCCACACTTTGTCCCTGTAACTTTGCTTCCAATCACGTCGAGGCTTTGTGAGAGATCAGATTCCTGTGGTTTACTCGCAGCAGATCAAGAATGTGGAGGAGGAATGTGGTGAACGTCCTGCAGAGCGTTCAGCTTCCTGACCTCTGGGACCGAGGACCGCGTCTGCAGTTGTACCAAGATTTTTATTTTATTCATTTTAAGAAGCAGTAACACCCGACCAGTCCCAGACCTGAGACTTGTTCAGCCCCTCACTGATCATTTTAAACATTCGACTCCATTTGGTCATGGAGGATGAGGAGGAGTCTGCTCAGGGGTCAGCAGCCAGCTTCCTAGTAGGAAAAACTTCAAGCACATGAAACGGTTCAGGTTCAACCCCCATCATATCACAGATCTCAGATTACCCACCACAAACGCAGGGTGGACAGACTGCAGCAGGTGTGGTTCTGTGAGGGTCTTACTTGGTGGAGGCGGTGCACTGCAAGCCCCCGTTAGCCGTCAAGGTCCAGTATTTCCCGGCCGCGGTCCGAAACGCACACTTCCTGTTTTCACGGCAGATCTCCACCTGGAACACCTCCTGGTCGCTTTCTTCATCCTGATTGGCTGACAGGTCCATGCCTGAGTGGGCGGGAGGGGCAGACGGAGGAGAGGGGAGACAAGAGAGCAGGTTTAATCATGAGTGTGACACGCATGTAAAGGGTGTGTGTGTGTGTGTGGGGGGGGGGGGGGGCTGACTGGTGACGCACACATCCTGTGGTCAGGATCAGACGCTCTAAATGAGCAGCACTTAGATCAGTGAACGATCACACACACACACACACACACACACACACGCACATGCACACAGCAGAGGATCAGACGTGATGATGGACGATCAAAAAAAGGCTCAGAGAGCTGGGGCTGAAGTGAAGAACCACATGAAATGAAACCATCTAAACCAGAAAGGATTAGACCCTGAAGACGGCACAGCTGAGGAGGAGGATCCTGGAACAAACTGCTCAGATCTAAAGTTGGTCACTTTGATTTAACGAGGAGGAAGGAACATGAATACTTTCATTTCTGTGTCCTGGCAGACATCTTTGTCAGTGCTGATGACTGGATGAGTCATTTTCCCCCAAATCGATTCAAATGCGATCGACTGGAACCCTTCACGATCTTGATCATAGGAACGTATTCTTTAACGGAGGGAGTTAATGGTTTAATTTAAAAGCAGCCATTTTAAAAACAAACGTGACGCCTCGATGAAAAGCAGCACATATTTCTCAAACCAAACCATGAAACCATTTATTTGTGGCGCAGATTAACTTGAATCTTAAAGTTTGCGTTTGATTTTCTTTCTTCCTGCGTTCCAGTTGCTAGTTGGAATCAGACTCCACTCGTTTCACGGAAATCTGCTCCGAGTAGTAAAATAAACTTTGATCTCACCGAATGTGATCAACCAGATCAACTTCTCCACGAGGATCCAGAACACCGCTCGTTTCAGCAAACATTTAAACATTTATTGTTTTGTCCGAGTCTGTGGAAAGATCATGGACAATCAGTATCTTACCTGTTGCAGATTACCATTAACGGCCACAGATTGGAGAAACTAACAGCTAATCTGAGCGAGGCAGAGACCAAAGTGGATTGATAAAATACCTAATCTCTAAAATGTGACAGTGATTGAGGACAACTAGTTTATAAATCTTCACACTTTATGCTAAGCTAGCTGCATTAATATAACATGTTTTTGCAGAAATATACTATAATTAAAACTTTTTTTTTTTAATTTTATACATTGTCCGCGACACACAAAATATTTGATCCCCAGCCCCTTTAACCACATGTTTACAACCCTTCCACAGAAGCCCACTTGAAAAGTCTGAACTGTCCCTTTAATCTTGTTGCCCCTCATCCAACAGGACTGACGCCAACTTCAAGCTGCAAGTTATGAAACTGAACATTTTCCATACTGGTCATGTTCAAACTGATTGGTGAAGCCACGAGCACGTTCCTGTCAGGAGTGTCAGGTTACAGACGTCTGTCCCCGCTCGAGTCCATTGTGTCCAAAACCCTGAGAACTCCAGCAGGTATCAAATCAAAAGCCTCCACGGAGTGCGTGTGAGCTCATGCATCCAGCGTTCATGAACAAGACTCGGGCTCTTAAAAGCTACAAAGTGGTAAACAAACACGGGTCGGCCAGTGGACGACACGACTAATGCACTCAGCTCCCGCAGCACAATGTGGGTCATTGTGAGGACTGGACGCCCGAGGACTCGGAGCTGGGTAAATGTGTGCAGAGACGGAGAGAAAAAATAAATAAAAATGAGAATGGACTCATGGTTTCTCCATCAAGCGCTCGTTTCATGCAGAACCTCCCCCCCCTGCCCCCGCGCTTCTTTTTCTGAACCGTCTGAACTGTGAGAGATTATTAAAGAGGAGGTTGTTATTCTGCAGATTCCTCTCCGTCCAAATAAAAACCTCACATGGGCCAGAGACAGAGCCCTGCGCCCCTCCCAGACAATCACATCGAAGCCTCACTCCTTCACATCAGCAGTATTACTATTATTACTACCGTACAGTAAACACATGGCCCTCCTCCAGTTTAACTGTAAGGGTGGTTCAGAGATTATATTTTTAAATTACTAAACTGCTCTAGAAGGATCTCATGATGAGAAATGATTCAGCAGCTCTGGTTAAACCTCAAACATATTTTATGCAGCACTCAAAGTGTTGTGAATGACTCTCGGCTACTACCACACCAAACTTTAGCTCGGCATCTGTAGAACCGTGTTTTAAGGTTTAAGACAGGTTGGATGTGGCAGCCATCTTAAACTGGGCTGGCTCTTAAAATTTCACCAGTGGTCGATTAACATCCAGTCGTCGCCTTCTCAGAGTTTCAATAAAACTATCCAGTGGTTCATGATATTTTACTAACAGATGAAAACGGCGACAGGCGGGCGTTAAACTGCAGAAAGAGGCGATCATGTTCAAAAATCAAAGAGTTTTGGAGACGGTTTGTGCAGAAATGTGGGCCGCGCTGCATGAACGCACATGAAACACAAACACAGATGACCGAGGAGGAAAATGTTAACGAACCGTTAATGAAAACAACATGGTGGGTGTGTGTGTGTGTGGGGGGGGGGGTATGTATATCTGCCAAAGACAAGGAGAGGATAGAATAAAGAGGAGGAGGGTGAAAACTGCAGAGTGAAGAGCTGCACGATCAGCTTTCTGCCAACTCTGCAGTCACTGAAACGTTTACGCAAAAATCCTCTGGGGTTTCCCCAAAATGAACCTGCAGATACAAATGAACTGAAATGATCCTCAACAGGTTCAGCTGTACTTCAGAAAACCATCCATCACTTCACAGCCAGAGATGTGAACCAATCAGAGCTCACATGTACAAAAAAAACTTCATCTAAACTCTGTTTTGCAGTTCAAGTAGTTTCAGAGTCGGTTTCTTTAGTAGTCATTCGCACCTCATGTGGTACATGTGGTGGAACAAACTTATGTACACGGGGTCCCAGCTACATCCAACAATAAAATGTAAAACAAAAATGGTAAGATCTAAAATAGGAACTAAAGAATTTCTAACTAAAAATACACTAAGCTCTAGTAGCATAAAAACAATACACCCAACAGCATTTTGTGCAGTCATATTAGTCGAGGGCCCTCTAGTGGCTGGAAATGGTAGTGTTCAATATTTTCCATGTCGGAATGAATGAAATGGTCAGATCTCACCAAAAATGGATTATAAATATGGGGAACAAAAACAAATAAGTCACTTCACTGTACAAGTCGCAGTCATGCTAATTTATGCAAAAAAACATTTTTTCAGCAAAAATTATGGTACTTGTACTTGTTTACTTCATGTCCTGCTGCAACAAATCCTTTCAGACTAAACAAAAAAGTGAGCTTTTTAAAAGCTCGCTGGTTGTTCACCAGCAGAGAAAAATCTGAAACGTTTGCCTCCACCTTAAAAGGTTTGATGGGATTTAAACTCATCACGAACACAAACATGCACGTACATTAGCCACAGCTAACAGTTTGCTAGATTTTTCAAATCATCCCTATAATCTGGGTGAGCGGGACAGAAAATAGATTTGGGCAGATAAAAACAATTAAAAAAAAGATGGTGGTTTGAGTGGAGGAGACTTTTAGAGACTAGTGTCGGTAACGCTGCTCTCAAGACTTTCACAGAACGTGACAGAGCAGGATGTAAAGTTGCAAGCAGCCATGATAAAAACACTCAAGTCACCGCCCGATCACCGAGTGAACAGATCCTTCTGAATAAAGTTAACCCTTCGAGCTGCTGGACATCATCACTTATTGAAGAGAGGCGTGCGCCGCCCTTTGGCACATTAACTTATCAAAACTTTTCAAACGTTGCCACGAAGGCCAGAAAAACACGTTTAAGGACAGTCGAAGGATAAAAACACAAAACTGAGACTAAACAGTTTGATATGACGACCCAGAGAGGCCGAGGCTGCCTGTAGGTGTAGAGAAAAGATTAAATAAGCAGTTTTAAAGTCCTCTTAAGTTGAAAGTAGTGGACACACACACACACACTCACACACACACACTCTTCCATCTTTCTGCCCACTCCACCCACTACATTCAGCCTGATGGCAGCAGGCGCCGAGTGCCGTCCTCAGTTCCTGTGAGCCGGCACAAAAGAGCCTGCTGTGAGCGCACGCCATTACATCGAGGATGCGTGTGCGTGAGTGCGTGTGCATGTGTACATGTTCTATTGTTCAGCAGGCCCGACTGAGGAGGCGACCAGCTGCAGGACAAACAGACCATCAGCTTTTCTTCTGATCTGGACTTGAAACAAGCCAACAAGCTCAGAGCGAACTGAAACCACTGATCGCACTTTAAAATAAAAACATTAAGACGTGCAACAGATTTATAGTCTAGATGTTTTCATAAAGTGATTCAAACTTACTGGGTGTGTGTTTGGTTGGACTGTGAATGCAGAGTACTCATTTTGAGGCACACCCTCACGCTGACCTGCAATAAACTGGGAGGAGAGGTTTTTAAAGGACGCCGACATAAAAACAGGCTCTTTGAACATCAGCACCACCAAGGAAGCCGACATGCATGCTCCTCTGAACGTGCTGCTGAAGGTCGTCCTCAGACGGACAGAAATCGTCACCCTGCAGGGATCATCACGCTGTAGACGAGGTCAGATGGGCGTCTCGCGTCTCATTTCCTGTCAGTGGGCGTGAAGGCCACCAAAAGGGTGACGGAGTTGACTCGTGGCCAGACACAACATGGGACGGTGTGCAGTCTGACGACTTTAGCACACAAAGACACACCGATCCACAGCTGCGTGTTGAAGTGACGGAGCTGCTGCAGAAGCTGAACGCAGGAACACTAAATAAGACTCGGGGCCAGAGGTGGCCCTTGAACCATCACAATCCAGACCTCAACATCCACATACAAAAAAAAACCCTCTACATTTTAGCGCCGACACTTAAGGTTTAATATTCATTTAACACTTTTACTACAGTGACCAAAATAGTCCCAAATAGTACTTTTTCAAATGTAAGAAGTACAAACCCCTGAAGTTAAAAAAAACTTCAGTTCACAGGAACCTTGCTGCTTCAAAAGACGCCAGCGTTCCTTCAAGTAAT